GAATTGACTTTTGAATAAAACAAAAATGGCAAACATGTTATTTTTCATGTATTTCAACAAACCGGATGAGGCATCTCGATATCCTATACTTTTTTGGGTAGTGTACTCCTCAGACACAATGCATATATAAACTTCAATTTAATACAATCAGCATGGAATTTTGCAAAAACTACTTTTCATTTATTATAAAGTGTATCAACAAACTTGCGTTCTTATTTTATAGTCTAAGTTAATAATTTAGAGAGATATTTTAAATAAACCACCAAGGCGAAGGAACGCTGTTCGGTGCAGTTATTATTATTATTATTATTATTAAAGAAATATAGTGTAGTGTTATATTAACACACACAAAATCTCCCATTCAAGAACTCGTCGCTTGGACAAAGGAGGAAATATGTTTTCATTTCTTCTTAAATAACAAATTTTAATTCAACATTATTTTTTACCGTAAATGTGGTATTAAAAAAATTATATTTGAAGAAAATAAATTCATTGTTAATTTAGTTTTTAGAAACAAAATTATAATAAATCTAAATCTATGTATGGTTGACAATCCGATATTTATTGAGAATCAAATGTTTTAGCAAATGAATATTTTAAGTCGATTAATAAATGTCGAAGTGAACCAGTAACATAGACATGTTTTTCATTTATGATAACGATAAGTTTAATTACAAGGAAAATAAACGTGAATGCAGTTTTAACGATCAATCATATTTATTATGTATCTGAAAATTATTTCACTATAGTTCACCGAATCCTTAAGGAACAATTTTTAATGCAAATACACCCATTACCAAGCACAAATTCACGGTCAAATTGGGGCCTGGATTTGTGTGTAGTTTCAGTCATATTCAACGGTCACCAATGGAAGTAAAAATCAAGTAAATCAATTAGTATGATATAAAAGTTGAGTTGATTAATAGTCATCAATATTGCACTTTTACTTTTCTGCACACACCTAGTGTGTAATGGGAAAGTATTGCAATGAGTCAAAATTTACGATATCTCAAAAACATGTTTCTGGACGTTTCTGAGGTCAGAGAACCCGAATCGTCGTACGTTGTACGTCTGTTCCACGTCGTACGTTGTACGTTGTCCTCTGTACGCAAAATCTGTCCATCGATTATATCAACCCCCAAAAAAGTTATTTAAAATCTGACTGTACAGGATGATTAAGGGTCCCGAGTAATAGAACTCAGCCATAGACTAGTGAACTCAGCCATAGACTAGTGGTTAGCGTGCCAGGTTTGTGAGCGTGAGGACACGAGTTCGATTCTCGGTCAAATTTGGTCCGGTATTTTTCCACCGTGATTCGCTCAGGAATTATCAGTGGTTTTATGCGGAATAGATTTGGCCTTGGCGACTTTGGTTGATGGAAAAAATGTCATGCCTGTGGTGATACCTATGAAAAAGAGTCCAATTTTCGTCCAAAAGTCGAGTTTTGGCACGAGAACCGAATCCGACGTTAGTTTTGAGATACAATCAATTTTTGATACAGTTTCCTTGAAAAAATCACAAAAAAAATGAATTTTTGTATTGGAGCCATGCCTGTATGCTACCTTAATGACGTGAAACTTTGCACAGACTATTTTTTACACAAGTTTGAAGAGATTTTAATCAAAATTGGAGTACCTCATATACAAAATATTCAATTTTTGGCTCAAAAACGAATATTTTGTATGGGAGGAACTCTTAATTTTGGTTGAAATTTCCAAACCCTCCGAATGTTATTTTTTGTGAAAAAAATAACCTTTGCAAAGTTTCACGACTTTAAGGTAGCATACAGACATAGCTCCCATACAAAAATCCAAATTTTTTGTGAATTTAGTTATGAAAAGTGTTAAAAAATAATTTTTATTTACGTTAATTTTGACGTCAGACATATTTTTTATAGTGTTTTGTTAGAAAATAGAATACTTTCAAATGTCGTACAAATGGGTTCATCATGAAAGTGTGAAAAATCTTTTCTCGGGTACTTCTGCTATTAAATAAAAGAATATTTCGTTGCCAAAGTTGAAACATATTTTTTAGTCTCGAACTTTACGCCGCTTGAAAGGCTTGAAAAATCGAACAAATATTATTTTGAACTTTCTTAATACGTAGGCTGCTCCATATATTTCTAGAAAAGCATATACAACGCAATCGTTTTTTATCAAAAATGGCTTTATTGTTTTTCAAAGTATTTGCCATGATGGTCGATACACCTTTGCATACGCTCGAACCACTTGCCGTAGCATTCATGCCACTCCGAAACCGATATCTCCAAAACGTGTGTTTTGAACGCATCAACTGCTTCCTCTGGCGTTGAAAATTGTTGACCACGCAGTTTTTTCTTTACGCTCGGAAACAAAAAGAAATCGTTGGGTGCTAAATCAGGACTGATGACCCATTAATTCGATCTTTTGAGCGGTCAAATATTCAGTTGTGTGATGAGATGTGTGAGAGCTCGCATTATCATGATGAAGAATTATTCTGCGACGGTGGTTATTTTTTCTTAATTCACCAAACACTTCTGGCAAACAAATCAATTCAAATTCTGACTTTGCAGGATGATTTGGGACTGCTAGGAGACGTGCTGATTAGTTTTTGAGCAATATCGGTTGTCCGGTGTAATTTTTGGACCCAATGGAGTACCCACATCCATACATTTTTTGATCATTTTTCAACCATTTTGGTGACACGATGGTTTCGTGCTCAGACATGAAATTCAAAATCTGAATTTACATGATGATTGGGCACTACGAGGTATAGATCTGGTCAAATTTTCAACGACATTGATTGATCGGTGTAAAACTTAGACTCTGAAGAGGCACTTATGAGAAATAAAATGTTGGTAGGTTTCACAGTGCGGAAAAGTTCATCATCGTTCTTTTTTTCACAGATTTTCATATTTTTAACATTTTTTAAACTGGTTTTAAATTAACACGTGTCCCACTCAAATTAGCACAAATTTAGACGTCCGCCATTTGAACAACAAACACATAATATTAAATTCGTTTTTATTGGTATAAACCTTTATTCATAGGCTATCGAATAGCACATTCACTTTACATTGAACGGGCCATTATTTTAAATTTTTCTCAGTATGCGCCAAACCTTCCAATCATGCTTTGGCAGACCGATTTGTCGATTTCTATTAACTTTCTCTCGATGCATCCAGCCAATTGTTGCACGTTTCAAGTATTTCGGACCTTCGCCTACAACATACATCCAAAAACAGACGAGAAATAATTGATTTGGTATTTTTTCTCAAGTTAAAAAGATGGTCCTTTTTTCAAGGAAATGCTATTTTTAAGAAATGAGCCATTATTATAGTTTTTTTCTGAATGCGAAGCACAATTTTGCCTTTAATCAGATACTTCTCAACGAATGCCATCGATTTCAACAATATTTTGTTGATAATGGAGCAATTAATATAGGTTTAACCTTGCGTTTAGCATTAAATTTTCGAATAATGGCTCTAAAACACCTTCCAAAGAAGATCCTACCATACAAACACCCCTTGATCAAAGTTAATATAGTAGTGCCCTAACATAATCAATGCAAAAGAAACCAATTGCATTTGATTCGTGGTTCGATTTGGCGATGAATGTTTCACCGTTCAAAATGTTGACTTTTTCAATGCAACATGCTATGAGGCGAAGTGAACACCCAATTTTTGACAACCTTTGGAACTTTTCCTTAACTTATTTTGCTGATTACTAATGATCGTGTCTAAATCTATCGTTTTGGTTCAAATTTGGATTTGCTGTAACCATGAGAATCAACAAAAAATGAATTTTGCTTGACCAACCAAGTTTTTGGCTCTTGGTGACAGTATTGAAAGGTTTGAGCACTCAGATTGGGATTAAAACCGGATTTTTTGATTTTTCTAGAATCTTCGTCTTCATATTAAATCCATGAAACAAGATACATGGTTCGAAGAAAGATTGGTTCATCTTTAGGCACATACAGAATTTGTTTGGAACTTAGCTCGCAAAAACCATTTGAGATACTTTTTCGTAAATCCTATTTGTACGCCATTGCGAATGGATGTATTTCGTCGAATCGAGTTCGATAGTAGTCTCGAGGTACTGATAGGCGTGCCGTTTGCATTGGTTGATATTTTGGTATTTGTTATTGCAGTGTAATGAACGCTGTAAGTTGTGCCAATTTGAGTGGGACACGTGATATTATTAGTATATAAAACTTTAAATTACAAACTTACCTTTTTTAAATACAAGTAAAATAAATTGAATCGTAGATTATATTTCGATTATTTATTTATAATAATGAATCTAATTGATAACATTTTAAAATTCTGCACAATAAACTGAATTTCATTTTTTTGTCTTACTTTAACGAAACTTCAGCAAGATTAAATACAACAACAAAAATGATAATTTCCCATTTTAAATTATAATTTTTCGATCTCAAAATTAAATTCATTGAATATAGTTGAAAATTTATAAAAAAAATATTATAAAAAAGTCTGAAAAGTCTCTTTAGTAAATTGATCTCGGACTTAGGACTTCTTTAAATAATCATAAGATAATTTAATTAAATTTGAATGTTTTTTTAAATTAAGATCACTTTTGTTTGTTTTTTTTTTTTTGGAAAAATAATCATATTCAAAATGTTACATTTGATTTATACTAAGTTTAAACGTATCAATAAAACTAATATCAAATTAATTGCATATCTTAATCAGTCGTATAGAGTCAGTTCTTGTAATACGCTTTGAAACCCATATTTCCTTCGAGAAGTGTGTCTTGCTAACATTTCAATTGTGCTGAATTCTTGCTTGCAGTCGCGGCAAATAATTTTTTTATTTTAAGAGTTGGTTCAGTGTATTGTTTATATATATATATTAGCATTTTTAGTACATACGAATTCATTACCGGCAAACTGGACATTTACAGTAATCATCAAGTTTTATTGATACGTTTAAACTCAGTACAAATCAAATGTTATTATGAATATGATTATTTTTCCAAATAAAAAAAAAACAAAAGTGATTTTAATTTTTAAAACAGATGTATACAAATGTTATTTATTTAAATTAAAATTTATTTGAGCTATCTGCCAATCAATATTCTGCGATAGCGGTTATTTATCATGCGTTGTTGTGATATACTGTGTCTGTATGCTGAATTCGAATCAACGACTAACCTTAATTCCAGCTAGCTTAATAGAGCACGAATTTCCTTGTGCAGATGGCATAAGTAGTCTACATAGCTTGCCATGCCGTTTCCAGAACGATCTTCGATTAAATAGTGGCGCAATACATTTTCCAACTTATCTCGTGAGCGCACAACAGTAACCTATAAACATTTCAAAAATGTATATTTTTATTATTAAGTTCAAACAAAATTGTTAGTACTTACTCTCATGCAACGTGGACGTTCAACTTGAATGCTGTCGATGATACCACGTACTCGTTTCGACATTGGATTTTCGAGAACTGGTAGGCCAGGTCGATCTGTATCAATTTGTTGTGAACATGGCGCACTAAATACAGCTTGTGTGAATTCCGGTGACAAACTCAAACCTACCCAAATGAATAAATGAACGCCATTCTCCAAAATATATGCACCGTCTTCGGCCAATTTTTCAGCAGTGCATCGAATTGGTGCTGGAATTTCTGTTTCATTAGTATTGATATCGTGTATTGGAATCAACCGTGGATAAAAATAGAAGACTGACATTGGCAGATCCATAATCTGTATGAATTGCATGACATATGAGCGATCATCACAAGACATATCCGAACCACTTGATACTGCATCATTTTTCATAATACAAGACACATACAACGGCAACAATTTCATACATTCCGGTAATATCAATTGACCGGCTGATGTTGGTGATGCACAATTCTTTCGATAACAGGCCAATATTTGGGCACATCTTGTTTCAAGTGATTCACGTAAAGCACGAGGAGTTGAATCTAATAATTTTGTCATCATCTGAAAATCAAAATTTAAAACTATATTGAGTAAAGTAATAATTTAGAAACTAGCAATAGAAGCTTTTTTTAATTACCTGTTTGCCAAAGTATAAAATCATTGCGTCTAAATCACAGCATCGGAATAAATCAGCCATCTGTGTGCATGTTTTCAACGCTAAATTTAATATACGAATACGACGTTGACCACTACATGATGTGAACAACAAAGCGACTTGAATGTAAACGTTATCATCTGGTGGTAGTTTATCGTCGTGTTTTATTTCAATGCCGATTGATTTGCCACTTGTGATCGATGCCAAATCCATATCGGTTGTGTTCTATATTTATAAAATCATGTTTAATGGTAATAATTGAAAATAATCGCCATATATGTCGGAAATAATGGAAAGAAAATCAAAAAAATAGATTACCCCCATAAAAAAATGACCATAAAACTCTGTTGGTCGAATACCAGCTGACGTTCTCACACGCATGACAGAATCGAAGGCAATTGGACGTGAAATGTTTTTGATCAAATCGGAAATAACCCTTGGTCCATCGATATCGGCTTGGAAATAAGTGTATTTGTATATTTCACCGCCACTTAAACGTGCCACCTGGCCAATTGTAGCTAAGTCGATGTATGAATTGTTAAAAATGAATAAGTCTACCGAGCAACCTGCCAGTACACATTCCTGTCCCAAATTGTTATACGCATTATTTTGTGGACTTAAAATAGCTTTCTCTTTTTCTGTTCCGAGAACTTTACGATCTTCACGATTTTGAAGGCGACCTGGTGCATTTGACACCGGTAAAGAGGAATGGAACACTAATAATTTACCGGAGCACTCAGATGCTTTGATGGCTTCTAAGCCGGCTTGAATTGCTGGCATTAATATCGTTTCGGTTTCACGTGTTTCGCCAAACATTTTTGGAATCTGTTCCATAAGAGCGTCAATGACGGTACCCGATTCTTCATGATCGACAAAGAAACCATCCAAAAGTGGCATGAACATTTCATGAATGTCACCAACAACCATCATTTGTGGCTGAGCTAAATTCTCTTTGCAATTATAAAAATGAACTGAATTATTGTATGTTATAAATCCAACTTTCATTTTTGAACGATCATGGCCTTGATCGATCGGAAGATTCTTTAAAATTGTTTTCATTTCACGGCACAATAAATGTATTAAACCAGATTTGATGTTATTGTAAGATACATCGATCACGAAAATGAATGCTGGCGGCTTCGATGGTTTGTTTTCCTGAAACAAAAGAAACGCGTAAAACATTATCTTCAGATAAATCAAATGATATGAAAAAAAAAATAAACTTACTCGGCAGTACTCTTTTGTTGCAACGAACTCGTATGTTCCCAAAACGAGTTCTGGTCGCTCATATTTATCGACACGTTGGCCAGCATGGTCCAAATGTTGGAAATATTCAGATGGAACTGAAATAATTAAAAAGCAAAATTATCAATTATACTCAACTAGATCTAAGTTACATAATAGTAATACATAGCCGCATTTCTACTTACCATCTGTGCTGGCTTTACACATTGGGCAACGGAAACGTCGACCGGCATCCACAAATTGCATATTTGGCGACATGTATGCCTTACATCTTATCAAATAAAAAAATGAAAACAATGTTAACACTTTATGCACTTGGAAAAGATATTCATATTGATTCCATCCATTTTAATAATGAAAAAAAATTCCAGTATTACAATTTGCAAACGTTTTATTTACCTTGCACAACGAATTGGCCCAAGTTCACCGAAATCAACGATTGGTGGATTTATTTCACCTGCAGCTGTTTCAGCAAATGGTGAAATAATCAATGAAAATGGTACAGATGTCTGTTTAATCATATCAGGTGTTGCTGGTACATTGTACATTGTCGATCGTATATAACGTGGACCCGAGTTTCCTTGATCATGAGTAGTAAATTTCGTTGTAACCAATGGTGGTACGGCTCCAATTTCATTTGTCACGAATGGTCCAGTGATTGAACGTTGATTTTCCGTCATAACTTGAATTGGGTTTGGCATTTGATCGGGGTCAAGACGACGTTGTGGTGGTGGAGCAGCCATTCCGGGTGGATATTGATTATATGATCCCGGGACTGGTTGATTATAACTTGGCCGATTGGCTTGTGGTCCGTAACCAGACTGTGAAAGGTTTGGCGGCATCATTTGCTTATTTGGATATCCTGCTGATGTTGGTACGCTGAAAGGTGGTTGATTTGGATTTACATTATTCAGCGACAAACCAGCCATTTGATTCGGCAAATTCTGTGTTTGAAATTACAAATCGTCATTACTATTATTTTTGAAATTTTAACATGCTAAAGTCTATGTCAAAACAATACATTTTGTGGTATTTGATTTCCATTGAAGCTTGGCTGTGGTGGAAAATTGGTGAGTGGATTCGGGTGGTTTGAAGGTGCATTGTTTAATGATAATCCAGCTACCTGATTGGGCAATTTTTTTGAAATTCGAATCATTATTTTTGTTATTTTTTAAATGTTGACAATAAAAAAATCAATGCTAAATTCTTTACATTTGATGGCAGTTGATTGGCATTGTAGTTTGGCTGCGGTGGAAGATTCGCAGTTGGCTGCAGTGGCGATGACTGTTGCTGAGTGTAATGCGGATTCATTTTCGATTCAGTGGCAACGCAAGTATTTGGTGGTACTCCAATTTCATTTGTCACGGGTGGTCCAGACATTGTTGTAGATTGAATTGAGTTGGGTCGTTGTGTTGTCGGTGGAACAGCCATTCCGGTTGGATATTGATTATATGATCCTGGTGCTGCTTGATTATAGCTTGGCCGATTTGGTTGTGGCATATTGCCTTGTGGTCCGTATCCAGACTGTGGAAAGATTGGTTGTGGTTGTGTCATCGGAGGCATTGCTGATTTATTTGCATACGCGTCTTGTCTTGGTTGATGTTGCTGATTTGGAATTACGTTGTTCAGAGGCAAACTCTGTGTACGAATAGTCATTATTAATAATTTATTATATTTTAAAAAGTAATTATTTCAAACAAATTACATTTGGTGGCATTTGATTGCCATTGAAGTTTGGCTGCGGTGGAAAATTTCCAGTTGCTGGCGGCAAGTGCTGACTATATTGAGGATTCATTTTCTATGGACAATAAAAATTCAAAGCGAATACTTGCGAAAAAAAACACTTATTTATTGATTTGAAATTAGAAATTTAAAAAAATCATTGAGTTTGTTGGGAAAAGCACTGAAGTGAAGTAATGTGTTTCGAAATTATGAATATTGTCACGTCACTAAAATTTACTTTCAACAGAATGCAATCCGAGACACATAGACACAATTGTGAGATTAGTCTATCTTTGAACAGATGTTCAGCCTTAACCGCAAATAATTTTGCAAAATTGCAAAAAAAAAAAGTATTATAATTTTCTAAAATTGAAACAACTTTCACTTTATGCACTTGGAAAATATATTCATATTCAATCGATTTTCCTCTATTGCGATTCTCATTAATTACCTTTATACTTTTTAGTACATGAAAATTTTGTAAGACAAAATGTTCATTGTATGAATAAACACTAATTATTTATATTTTCAGGTTTATATTTTTTTGTTCAGTTCGTAAGCAATAATTTTCCACGTCAGTTTGCTTTCATATATAGTAAATACATGAAATAGCCAGAGCGCTATACACTCTTTATGATTTTGCCTCTGTCACTGGTAGCCACGTAACAGCAATATGGAACTGAACGAAAAATTGGACGACCAATCGATGTATGACAGTTGCAATAAAACTATGGTTATGTTCAAAAAATTTGTTCATGCTCTTGTAAACAATTAAATCATTCATCAATCATTTTTTATTTATGAGTTTTTAATAGAAAATCGTTTCAAAATACCAAAAAATAAACAGAAAAAAACTATAATAGAACAATGCCCGTTAATCTAAAATAAAACTATGCTTGTGATAATTTGTGAATTTTGTTCCGATAAAAAATGCAACTTTGGTCCTTGATTTTTTTTTACATTAGGCTACATTGTGATGGATCACTGAACTGGGTGGGGTCAAATTCTGGAATTGCACCTGCTGTTGGATTTCCAATCAAGGCTGCCGGTGGCTGTCCAAATTCGTTCAGCTATTATTAAAAATAATCATCATAAAAATCATTATGGTTAACCTATATCAATCGATTGATAAGTATCCCAACGGACAAATATGTAACGTTTTTAGGACATTTTAACGTTAAAAAATGTAACGCTTTGGCCCGGTTTAGTGGTCATTTCCGTGTCAAATGGGACGTAGATTTTTTGTGTAGTTTCCAGTATATTTACAACTTCCAATAGAATGATTCGTTCCACTTGTTTACTACCATACAAAAACATACTCTGACCGTATAATATGATCGCCACCCAATATGTGTATTGTACGTTAAGTTTTTGTATTTCAAATTTAACGATTTATTTACCGCAAGAAAATCCATTCTCTGCAAACAACTTAGATTTGAGTGATTTGATTTAATTTTCTGCAGAAGAATTTTTTTTTAAACGGCACTTGGCATTTATTTTTTTAAATACTTTCGTATTCATGAACGTATATGAATTTCGAATTTCGAAATCTGAAAGACATTCGAATTGAATTTGACAGTTGCCGTTCAACCATCGTCACTTTGAAAAAAGATGCAAACATCATAAGTTTGTTTACATTTTAAACTGTGCTTTGTTTTGAGAATGCATCGTGGATTTTTAGTTCAAACAAACAGATTTCTTTCTTCTAATTTCAACGTAGATATTGTGAATTTGCAAAGAATAGATTTATTTACGGTGAATTTTGTGCTTGTTCTTGTTTTGTTTTTAAAATAACAGAACATTTCCAAAGTCACACAGTAAGAAATCAAAGCGGCATTACAGTGTATTTTGTATCGAATTGATAGGAAGCTCATTTTATTTGTGTGGAAGTGCATTCTTCATTTTATATGGCTTTGTTGTGTGAATTTGACTGTGTATTAACTTCGAATTTGATGCCATTGGATTTTTGACTGTCAGAATATTGCGAATCGAATTCAGTTTAGCGAAAAATCCTCACAAGGCAAGTTGATTCAAACTGTTTGGCCATTCATTCATTGTTATTGTTGTACTCTCTATTGTGTGTGTTTTGTGCTTTGAAATTGCGATTTGACGTTGTGTGTAGCCTTCAATTGTTTATATAATTATTTAACGCATTTTTTCTTTTTTTTTCCGTTTTTTTTTTTAAATTTTGAAATAGACTGCAAAATGGGTCGCCACAAGGCAGCAGATCCAAACGCCGACCAAAGGTGTATAAAGCAAGGACTGCCATCAATTATCCGAGAACGATATCGCGATGTTATTATCGCGATCATTTCTATTCTGTCTATCAAAGCAACGAAAATTGCGTGCCTGGCATCATTACTCTTTCTCATGAAAGTAAGTTCAAAAATTTCATTTGTTTCAGTTTTTTGCTTTGAATAAAAAAAACATCAACTTCTTTTTTAATATTTCATCATAAATTCATCATATCATCCGAATGATTTTTCATTTCAATTCTTCGCTAATGACAATCAAATTCAATTTTTCGATATTATTTCATCATTTTCTATACGCAATTTACGGGCGATATTTTGCACTATTGTATTTGCATGAATTGATTCGATTGTTTGTTCGTTTGTTTGTGAATAGGTGAATGAAGCTGTTGATCACTTTGATGATGAATTTTTTGTATGGGATGATGGATCCAGCATGATTAAATGTTGTTTTAAGGCAGTACTACGTGACAACATCGGCAAAGTCTTTCTTATGCTACCGGATTTTCGGCAGTTGGTAGACGCTGCTAGAATCGATTGGCCCACCAATGGTGGATTTGGTAATAGTTTCAAGTACTTGTATGAACAATACGAAGACAACGTTCGAACAAACTTGAAAACGCATTGCGAATCCCGTTTGAGAAAATTTTTCAAGCTAAAGACATTCCAGCTCAATGACAATGCAATTCGGTATAACTACTTTAACAACTTGTACGGCTCGCCCAATGAATTGCCATATTACGATGAAACTGACATCAAAAATGCCGTTAACTACGCATATCATCGGAAAGACAACACGAATGACGATGTTGAGCGACAGCTTCGATTGGGCGAGTTGTTGGATGAGCTACGTTGGTAAGGTGCACCAGAAGATTGCAACATTAAAGAATATGTCAGCGAAAATTGGTTCCATTCGATTCGTATGTGGATACATATTCAACGTGAAATCCAATGGTATCACAATGAGTACAAATGTCGTCGTGATGCACCACAAATTAAAAATTTTGTCGTTGTACCAATGTGCAGTTTCCAACGTCGTCACATTCGCATCGATACCGACGCATTGTACACCATCCTAGCCAGTGTAAAATTGGTGCCATTGAAGTTTGGTTTGAAAAAACGCAAAGATAAAACGACCAATTCGATCAATATAACGAGCAACGAATTCCGCAGAAATAAAATCTTAAGTTGGAATCTGTTTTTCAATGTAGACAAAATTCAACAACTGGTACATTTCAAAAAGTATTTCGATTTCCAAATTTGTTCGGACGGTGTGTCTGTTTCGATGATGTACAAAAAGCCAAAATTACCACCAGTCGAAATAAGTGATGCTGAAATCATGAAAATGTACAAAGGGAACAAATTGAAGTATGCTATTGGCTGTGACCCGGGCATGAAAACCTGGAACGCTTCAGTGCGTCGTGATTTGGATACTAAAGAAGAGGTAAATTCAATTTTTCATAATGAATGAAAGTGATTGATATTGTGATTATGATTGTGAATACAATGTCGTTTTTGTTGTTATCATTTTGTTAGGTGAATTTGCGCATATCCAGCAAACGGTATCACTGGGATGCGAAATAAGGCCGACGTAATGCAAAAGCCGAACGAATCACCCGATTATTTACATACGACGAGAAAGCTGATCGCAATCGAGTTGCAGCGACTCTGGGTACAATGCCATCGCCAAGAGAAACATCATGGCGCTCGTATATTGAACATCGACTACGAGTTATGAATGATAACATTGAAACGTACACGTGTAAGCAATATGCACGCTTGGGATTGGACAAGCATATCGACTCGGTTCGTGCGATCGACAAAACGGCTTGCAAACTGACACGCAATCAACCATCAATTTTCTACATGGGAGCCAGTGGATCCACACCAGCCAACTCACCGATCAAAATCAAAAAACACGTGCGATGCCCAGGCACTCGCAAATTGATTGCAGCCATCATAAAACGTGGAAATTGTATCGTTCGGATGGTCGATGAGTATATGACATCACAGCATTGCCCATTGTGTTTCAAGCGATTTCCACAAGAAACTCGACGTGATCGATACAAGAAATGTGTGGGTTGTGTACCAAATCCAATTGTTGGACTACCACGAACCATCGTAACCAATGTGAGCAAACGATTACTACAAATGCGACGAACAATTGAACGAATGTGGCGCGAGATGCGTGATATAGGCGATGTCATTGCTGCAACTCTTCGAGATGGACCGAATGCAGGTCGTTTGGTGTCAAAAAAGCAACGCTTCTTCAAAACATGGCTACCAAATGTTGCAAACGTTGAAATCGAGGGAGCTGCCGGAGCACATCCAACGCTCACAACTGTATGGCACCGTGATATCGCAGCAGCGAAGCTGATCCTCTACAAAGGTATGCAATCAATTGAAATTGATACAAATTTTGAAGCAATTGTTATACATGTAATGTGTTTTTGTTATGTATCATTCGGTAGGTGAATGCGTGGTGTTCAAGCGGACAATTCATCCAAATGTACGGAGACCACGCCGTGTTGACAACAATCAGCCATTGCCGTTGTATCGAGGTCAGAATCAGAATGTCAACAATGGACATCTGCAGCCGCAGTAGTAGCAGCCCTCATTCAACAACATTCAAACAATACTAAATTTAGAAATTAGTTTATAACAATTATTTGTTAGTTCGCTAGGCTTGATTAAATTGTGGCCTTGCCAAAGTACGAGTACCTCTTGGTATAAATTGTACTCGGTAAGTGGAGTCTATTGCATATACAATAGCATAATGATGATTATGAATCAAGTCAATTTTTTCATATCAGTCTAATTGAATTGTGCTTTCTTTTCTTTTTTTCTTTCCATTGCGACGGTAAAATTGACTGAAACTACACACGAATGCTACCCCAAATTCGACCGTAAACACTGTTCCTTAATACCTAACAATTGTTCCTTAATACTTACTTTTTGCATATTTTTGAGAACGATTTTGAATCGTTCACTTTTAACTTCCATTGAATCGTTCGGACTTTCTTTCTCCAACTCAGTACAAATAACTTTGAATAGTTCTTGTTGCTTTTCGTAGCGCTTCTTATCAGCTTCACTGATTTTGTCCTTGTTTTCATCCAACCAACTTGGATACTTTTCGAGCATTTCTTTCAAGCTCGGCAATAATACTTCAGCGCTTAAGAGAGACTGCATCATACCCTGCATGACTGGTAAAAAGGGGTTATCACCAGAATCCTACAAAAAAATAAGAAAAAAATAATTGAATACAATCGATTTAAACGAATAATAAAAATATCAATGGTTACATCATCTAAATTTAGGCCAGAAAACATGCCAGTTAAACCTTCTGGAGGAATTGGCTCTTGCAACAGACCCGATCCTTCTTTCAATGATTTCAATGCTTCTGTCAAACTATCTGCTAGTTGCGGCTCTGTGGGTAATGCTGCATTTTCATCGAGACCCTGAACAGCCATAGCGGCCGCTTCTATTCAGTTAAAGATGAACATTTCAAAAATAATTATGTATTGTATACATAATTTTCAAAACATACCCGCCATTTTTTGAAACGTTAAATTGATTTGATCTCCAGACGGTGCACCTTCTACACCAGTGAATACATTGGCCATACGCTCTTCGAATAATTTGGCTTGTTGTCTAAAAAATGTTTTGTATTATTTATTAAGTTTCATAAATAAAGTAACGAAATTGTATAATTTCTTTACGTGATGAACTCTTCATTCCAAACTTCAGCGCTTGCGTTGGCTTCTGTGGCATCACTATTCTTGTCAGTGCTCTTCGATTGATTTCCAGCATCGAAATCATTCAGAGCGCCTGAAAAATATTAAATTATGTTTCATATTATAAATTTGCGGTTTGCCAATAAAATAAAATGGCTTCAAATAAATTGAAGCACATGACATTCAGTTCTGATGTATTTAAATTACATAATTTGTATTCGAAATTTCATTCAGCATTATTTGCACATTTACAACTCTAGTGAATTTAATCTGAAAATTATTTAAAAACAACTCACTATTCAATAAATCGTCTAAATCCTTATCGTCGATTACTGACTTGGAATTAGACGGCTTGTCCGACATTATTTTTTATTTGGTTTGTGTGATGTAATAAAAATATAAAGTTTGTGTCACAAAAATATTTCGAATGGTTTTAATAGAATAAAACTGCGAACTAACTTTCATAAATGTGACACAAGGAAAGTCAGAGTGGATGAATTTTTTTTCACTGTAGGTGTTTTATTCTGAAAATAGACAAGTGTCAAAATGACAGATGTAAATGTAGAATATTTTATACTTCAGATAAATGTGAAATTATTTTTTATTTATGTGAATTTATTTTCTCCAATTATTTTAACTATTCGTTTATTTGTAGGCATATATAATTAACAAATTTATATATTAAATATTTTGTGAAACTCAACGAAACCAGAATACCATAGATGTCTCTAGTCATAAATATATAGACAGAAATACATAGTCATATACATATATATGTTTGTCCTTTTCTACTGTAGTTCCGTAGAATATGACAATTGGGACCATGCTGTTTCAGTTTTTTGAATAACTCAAAACGTTTCATATTGTTTCATTCAAGTTAAAGAAGAAAATAAAGAATTAACAATGTCAGATACAAGTGATGTGGACAGTTTTTATGAGGAAATCGAACCAAAGTCAACCAAGAAGAAGAAAACTATCAAGAAAGTCAATGGAAAATGGAAAGAGACCGATATGAATGTTGATGAACATGAAAACAATGAGAATGACGAAAATGATGGATGCCACGATAATGATGAAGATCTGGTCAATAAATCTAAAACATTTCGAATAAATCCATTAAATTTAATTAAAAACAAAGATATCCGGCATAAGTTATTCAAAAAACAGCAACAAGCTAAAAAAAAAGAGCAAAAGAAAACACGTAAACAACGTAAATTGGAAGGTGGCACACGTAGTACCGGTCATACAATCGAAAGTTTACGCGAAAAAGACCATACAACAGTTGAAAATCTCGAAGACTCTGACAGCGAAGAATTGCGAAAGGAATTGGAAATTGATGATTTCAGTGAATATTTCGCACGAGAATATACACCAAAGGTGATATTTAAATTGTTATCATATAAACAAAATATAATTCATATTATAATATCAATTTGCAGGTCCTAATCACGTATGCTGACAATCCAGTCACGAAAACTAGAAAATTTGGAATAGAGTTGACGCGTATGATTCCAAATTCATTGGCGAAAATTCGAAATCGATCATCCATTAAAAAGATGGTTAAAAGTGCGATTAGAGAAAACTTTACCGACATCATCATCATTAATGAAAACAATCGTGAACCAAATGGATTGGTAGTCGTTCACTTGCCAAATGGACCCACCGCACATTTTAAACTGAGCAACGTACGTATAACAAAGGAAATCAATCGTAGTCATTTAGAATTCACGAAACATCGGCCCGAAGTGATTTTGACAAATTTCACCACACGTTTGGGTTTGTCAGTTGGACGAATGCTTGGTGCATTATTCCATCATGACCCAGAATTCAAAGGACGTCGAGCAGTCACATTTCACAATCAACGTGATTACATTTTCTTCAGACATCATCGTTATGAATTCGCCAAAGATGGAAGTCGTGCCAAACTTCGAGAATTAGGGCCAAGATTCACATTGAAATTGAGATCACTTCAAGAAGGCACATTTGACAGCAAATATGGAGACTACGATTGGATGATAACAAACAAACGACACTCAATGGAAGGTCGTCGACGATTTTTCCTTTAATTATTTCATATTTTTCAATTTGATGAAATTTTTCAAATAAAGAACATTTTTATCGCAAATAAGTTACCACTTTTATTTTTCTATTGATTATAATGGCAATTTTCAATTTAAAGCGGATCAAATTTCATGCCAATTGATAGCAATCACAAAACATGGATATAAGCATGACGACTTCCCGAAACAAAAAAAGCTATGGTCAAATTACGATACAGCTCAAATCCGAAGAGTCCACAATGGCCTTGACAACAAAGAGAAAACACACATAAATTTGTTATAAATACAAAATAGTATTTTATGCTTCAATTTCAATCACTTTCTCATTTGAAATTCAATTTCATTCAATGAATAAATTACCTTTGTACATTATCAGCTATGCAGCCCCTAATCCTCAGTAAAATCGATTAAATTTTTGTCGCGAATAATGCGTGGTAGCTAAGCAACGTTGTTAACCGCTTCGTATGCCGCGTTATGTCGCCAGTTTTTTCGGTAACAAATGACCTTTGACACAAAACCAACATCTTGATTTGGATTCGCAACCATTGCATCGCGCAATTCTTGTCGTTCCGATAGCAGCATTCGTTTCGTCTTCATTGTCACGGGTTTTTAGGGTAGTTTCAATCTTTCTGGCCAGTCGTTGTTATCTCCCAAGAAAATTGTGTCTATTTGGACACAAGAATATATTTTTTTTATCAAATATCTTCAACAAATGCTCTATGTTTTGTTCTTACCAGCATTTTGTTCTTGGCAGCAATCTTTCCACATACTCGATTTGATTCGATATATTTATCAAATCAAAGACGGGTGTATCCTTCTCTCGTATAAACGTCAATGGTGACCTCAAGCGATGACTTATATAATCGCTCCAATTTTGTCCTTTTGGACTCGGCATTTGCGGATAACGAGTTCTGTCATTTCAATTGTTTTGTTCAAAGGCGAAAAACCCCCGTGTTCATCGCTTTGCTTTTCGGTTTCGTACTCCTTGCCTGTTCAATGATATTTCTTACTGCTGGCCATGAAATTCATCTATGTGTGTGTGTGTGTGTGTGAGAGAGAGGGGGGGGAGAGAGAGAGAGAAAGAAAAACAATGGGATAAATCACACGAGGAAATGCAATGCATAACGAGAAATCACTAACACATACCTCTTTGCCGGAGTCGATATGCCGTCAATCGATTCACAATTCGTAGATGTAAAAGCCATCCTTGTAACGCTTTTTTATCAGTTCATCGCTCACCAACTGTGCCAATGTATTTCGCGATATGTCTTATAATATCGATGCTGACACACCATCGGTTACAAAATGATAATGAAATTCTTTGTTCGCGTTCAATATTCCATTTGAATGGGTTAGGATAAAAGTGAGCTCAAATTTTCATATAAAAAAAT